AGATTTTCACGTTACCGAAGTAGACTTAAACATAATGGCAGCGATTTTCATCACAGGTTGTGATGCAATTCCTGGCAGAACTGGTTACTGAAATGTCAAACAAGGTCTGATTGTCTATCGGCTCTTAGTAAATTATGCTTCAACATCAAATAAATTATGTATTTTGTCCGTAACGCATTGTGAATCGCACGTTTTATAAGGCTGCTTAAATATTGTCGAAATTTGTTTAAAAATATCTCAAAAATAAAAATATTTCATTTGTTATTTATTTATGATTGGAGAATGAGGATAAATGGAATTGACTCATTTCATCATTTGCATGAGCATTAGCAGATTATTTGGGACTATAATCAGATTTTTTAAATAGAGATTTGTAACGAGCCTTCGAGTTTTTCAATTTCGGTAATTGGCGCAGTGTAGAGTAGATAGTGCGGCGGGCGAAAACGGATCCATGGAAGCCACGTGTAGGATTAAAAATACATATAATGTCATTCCCACCGGGGTGTGGTCATAATATTTGAGTAATGGTGTCATGATCGCCTTGACGAGCTGAGAAGAACAATATGTCGCTTGCTAAGGTATGACAATATTGAGTAAAAATCGAGAACCACACCCTCAGGGGGTGTGACCTGTCAAATTCTAATTAAGTTGCTGAATTTGTGCCGAAGGGCTGATTAAAATGGCACGTCGCATGCCGAGGATTGGCAAGATTCAGTCGAAATGGATAGCCACACCCACAGGGGTGTGTTTTTTTAATCTAGCTACATCGCCACAATTGGCGTGACGCGCTGTGAAAATTGATATGTCATATGGTGTGTTTTAGCTAGATTTGCAGTTTACTGGTAACCGCTCCCACGGTGGGGGTGGTTTTTCAGGTTAAAAATTTGAGTTATTTGACTGTGATTGTCTCGACGAGCTGAGAAAAATGATATGTCGCATGCCATGCATTGGTTGGGCATTCGCCGAAGCGCAGATAGCCACTCTCCCCGCCCCTCTGGTCGGCGACAATGTCAGGCCGTTCAGCGGATGGACCTAGGCAACACCGGGGCGACGTTAAACTCCAGAAACCAAGGCTGGAGGAAATTTATATGTATTTTAATTCGTTACATCTAGCTTTTGACCACTCCCACATGACGCCGGGGCAGGGGGTGTGACCAAGCAGCGACAGAATTTGATGACCTGGGAATGTCAAGCATTGTCGCCAATAATTTGCAAACAGGTCCTTCGGATATCGTTGTAGAAATTTCAAATTCTGCAAAGAAATGTCACTCGTTTTTTGACCTTGTGACCTGGATAACGGATGGGTGGGGACGAATTTTGAAAATCTGGAATTATTTATTTCGCATAAGGGGTCAATGTTTCCAATGCGGGCGGAATCTTGAAAATCGGTCATGAATTGGCCGTACAGTTAATTTTCAAACCCTACAGGTTGTTGCTTATGGCAAGGTCGGCCATTTAGCCTCCCGAGAATTCCCATGCTTAGTACTTTCCTAGTTGACCATAATAGTTGTACTGCAATAAATATGTAAATACATACATACGTAGACTACGTAACGTAGTCGACGAAAATATTATATTTGTCGTCGAAATTCTGAGGCTAAACGTTACCCTGCTTAAGTTTCCATGTATACATTTCAGATTCATAATTTCGAGCATAATAAAGTGCGGCAAAGCACGATACATAAGTATCGCAATAATGCTGAGAATGCTGAGAATTAATTTGAGCTATAAAGCTCAAATTAATTTAATTAATTAATTAAATTAATTAATTAATTAATTAAATTTAATTGACCACATGCTCTATACTGCGACATGTTGACAACACAGAAAAGCATGTTTTGCCAAAATTTCATGCATATTAACAGCAAAATGCCGAAATTAGGGCATAGCGACAAAACTTGTCGTCGAAACCTTAATCGCCATATTTCGACATGTCGACAACACCAAAAAACATGTTTTACCAATATTTGATGCAAATCGCCCGAAAAATGCAGAAATTAGGCAATGGCGACGTTTTTCGACATGATGTCGACAAAGTGGCCACACCCCCTTAATAGGGTGTCACCCCACCCCCGTGATGAACATGTGTTCAAAATTTCAGGTCGCTACGACAAACCGTTCTCGAGTTTTAGTGTTGACGGACGGACAGACAGACAAACAGACAGCCAGACAGACTAACTAACCGATCGCATAAAGTAGCTTGTGCTACTTAATAATGCAGAGAAGTATTTTGCAACTAGGGTATTCTCATTCAATCCAAAAATATAAGTTTTACTTGTGGTTTAAAATTGGGTAGAAAATTAGTCTAATTCGGATTTACATTAAGTTTGTCATCAAGCTAATATTTTTTTCTCAGTAAAGAAAATAATTGTTCCAACAAACAACTTTCTGATCCGGATATTACATATTGATTGGTCACGGATAGAACGAACGCTCAGCCTGACGTTATATTATATTGAACGTATTATAATTACTTAGAATTAGATATGCATACAAATCTATCATGCAATAAATAACGTTATTCAAATTCTTGGTTCCCATTTTCTTCGTAGCTCATATACTTGTCATTTATACTAAAGCAGACACATATTTCGTAAATATTGCTAGAATACTGCTCTACGTAAAATGAACACTGCCATTAAAATTACAACCTTTATTTCTGCATTTTTCATTATCGAATCACATCCCACGAGAAGATACGGTACCCGGAAATTTCATTCTAGACTTAATTTCTACAAACCATCCAGTCACCACATTTTGCCACTGGCATATCGCTTCTGGTGGAATGTCCTCCTCCCAACTGGCGCCTTTTGTTCAATTCAACGTGCCCATGACTCTCGTCCACATGTTGACCCTCTCAGAATACCATACCCATTCCCACTATTGGGCAAAGCTCCCCAAACTTAACGTCCTCCGGATTCGAATCCCACCCTGCATTGCGGCCGTGATTAACTTCAACTTGCAGTATGGCAGGCAAGACGAAAAATATCTCGGAATTTGGATTCGCTTACACGTATTTGAACTGCTCGAACTTGAATACCCACGCAGCTATAAATTCAGTCACAGAATTAGCCCAGGTTCGCACAGATTTTACGCCTTTATCATACCACATAAACCCATGGAAGAATTGTTGTCAGGGAATAATAAACCAGTATTTCAATATTATTGGAAATGGAACACAGGAGTAACTTATGGTTGGACTTATCTTCGCATAAACTCACCGATAAAATATGTAGTTATATTTCTATCCACTAATTCCACCAACTACACTGTGGCATTCCCCACAGAGGAAGGGATACCTCCGTTAATGGGAAACCTGATTTTTAAAATTCGCGGAGATGCGTCAGATGTGTTCAGGCAGAATATAGTTCCTCCCCAGACGGTGTGGTGTGCCGAAATTGATTCCATTTTCCAGGATGACGCAGACGGCTCGAATTTTGTGGGCACCTACCTCGCTAGAAATCCCTTCACTCTGAGGATGGAGTATAATCGCTACATAATGGCGGAAATTATGAAATCCATTAATGCCACTTTGGTCCACTCGCTCTCCTTCGAGCCAACCACATTACCACGAATTATGTGGAACGTTCAAAAGTCGGACTGGACAGTGTACACTGATAGGTCAATTTTTATGACACATGCGGAAAAGTATGGGTTCATTTCGTGCCATTCGACCCCCATATTTTCCCTGCACTTTTACCTCCAACCGTTTAATGCCCACGTCTGGTATGCTATTTTGGCCAGTACTGGAATTATAATTGTAGCTACGATAAATTTTACAAAATTCTACGCAAATCTGTCAAATTTGGCACCCCTTGTAAATTTTGAATGGTTATTCTTATGCTCAACTCTGTTCGGTGGTTCGCCCTGGGTGCCGGGTCGTATTAAAGAAAATCCGGCCAACTTTATTGTAATTTACGTGTGGATTATGCTCGTAATCGTTTTTACCACGGGATACACCGGACTTGTCATTACAGCCTTAAATTCATCCCCGGGTGAGGAACACTTAACAAAGTTTAGCCAACTTGTCTGCCCACCGACAAATGCGACCGATATGGAGGTCATGACCTCCAACCCGAAACTTTTACCTAGTGGGACTTCAGCCTTCAATTCGAGAAATATCGAAATTGCGGACTATTACAAATGTTTTAGCCTCCTCTCCAAGATGCAGAGTGAATGGGGGAATTATGCGAAACGCCCATTGAGCTATAGGTTTACCAAAATATTACTGTCGGAACGTTCTCATGGGGTGCAAAATTCGAAAGAGATGTTGCAACTGTTGTACTCCTTTGATGGAGAAACATCGATTTTTTCCAGAAATGTTGACAACTCCGAGTCACGCCATAGTTTCGAACCAGTTTCTCGAGAAAGCTGTTGAAGATGAGTTAGTCAAGTGCGGGAAATCTGTGTATGTCGGAAGTGAGACAGATATTGCGGCGAACTATAACTATTTTCAGAAAAGATTTCCCGCAATTGACTTTTATCTCGGGGTAGAGAAACTTTTCCCGGATTCGTTTGGTTGGGTGCTTCAAACTCCGCGGGGGACGAAGGCAGCTAAAAAAATGGGGCAACTGGTTGAGAATGGGATTCTAGAAATGTTGAGAGTCCTGGCTCCAAGTGTGCTTTCAGATGATAGGAAACTGAGGTTGAGAGAGAGTCAGGGGATCAATGCGACGGAGAAATTTGAGTGGAAAATATTTGTTAAACCGCTTAATTTGAGGGGTAATGTGAGAACGGTATTTCTCGTTTGGGGAGTGCTTATTTTGTTTGCAAATATTGTAACTTGTATGGAAAAGATCAGTATGATTTACAAATATTTGCCATACATGTGGGTTATCCTTGCGAAACGATGTAACGCATTATTTCAAAAATATAATACGTTTAAAATATAATGGCCAATGTTAAAATTTTGCAAGCATGGCCTTCACCTGCTTATTTATATTTGCAGGAAAATGCCACTTAAATTGATACCTTTGATTTTTGTTAACTGCAACCATATTTTATATTTTTATTTCTAATTCTTGCTACAAATTGGTTCAGGAAATTATGCTGAAATTGGTTTATATTATGATTGCATTATTTAAAATGCTGGAAATAGATGTTTTAATAAAAGTAAATTACAGTACCTACATATAACAATGTCAATGCATAATTGTTCAACAGAAATTCCAATAAGAATTGAAGCACATATTACTCCAGGATTTAATTAATCTTCTTCATCTGTCGTATCCTCGTCCCGATTTTCCCCAATTTCTTGTAAAATTGATACAAATCCTTCATTACGGAATCGAATGACGGATTCGTCATCAAACACATTTCCCGAAACAGAGCATCCTGATGAGGTTTGCAATATTAGCGATAGATTTCGCAATGATGGAAATTTATCATAGAATCTACCCTCCTGTGAGAATAAACAAACTTTTGTTGAGGTTCTGAAAGATGAAAGATATTAAACCACTAAAAGTACGTAGATCCGCGACAAAAATTCTTGTAACATCCAACCGGTGGACGAAATTTTGGAAAAGTTGGAAACCTCAAATCGTAATGAACTGGACTAAGGTAACCATGGATGAGTCATTATCGCGCGTCTCATTCCGCCCCATGTGTCATGGTTCCTTATGGAGAACTTAAAATTGATATTTCGGCGTTAATATTCAATGAAATTTAAATATTATTACCTTAAAGAATTCTATATTTCTAACTTAAAAAATACATCTGGACAGATTTTTTTGGAAAAAATACAGATTGAATTCTTTGGAAGGAATTTTTTTCTAAAAATCTGTCGAGATAAATTTTGTAAGTTAGAAATATAGAATTCTTTAAAGTAATAACATTTAAATTTTCTTGAATTTTAACGCCGAAATATCAATTTTAAGTTCTCCGTAAGGACACATGGGGCGGAATGAGACGCGCGGGAATGACTCATCGATTTTCCCTTAATCATTAATCCCCTGTCATAGCATTTATTATTTGCCATAGAATTTGAAGGAAATAAGCAAAGATAAAAAATTATTCACTTCAGTACTATCGACGAGCCCAAAAATGTCCATCATTTCTGAGCGTGTCATTCTTGGTGGGGAACTACGATGCGAGTTTCCCACCGTGATCTGTAACATTTCCAATTTAGGGAAGACATCTGGCACTGAAATTCTGCCATAGTCTGGATTCTCGTCATCTTCTTGTTCTTCCCCAAAATAGTCAACCCTCCATTTGAAAGATAACCCCAACGTTTCCAAAGTTGGGGCATGTTTAGCCAGGACTTCTCCAAGTTCTGCGTACCCATCTTCACTTCCCGCGTAGTAATCGCATCGTATTTTGAGATGTAAATGTTTCAAGGAAGTAGAAAGTTTGTTAAGGGACCCGATATCCTGAATGCAATTTAATCCCGTTACACTCTTAAGAAAATCAGTAAAACGCGGTATTGATATGTGACTTTAACGCCTTGGTAATGATTTTGCAATAAATTTAAAAAATTAATACCATTTGGTACAAAGTTTAATACTACCTAGTAATAAAATGATTACCACATAGTATTATTTCACTACCGAATCTATACCAGCGTATTACAATCGTTTAATACCAAAGCGGTAGAGTCACATATCAATATCGCTGATTTTTTGAAATACCCAGTTTCAAAGAGTGTAATTATTGAATCAGGTAAATTTATAATTACGAATTACATATTAATTTTAAACGAAAATTTTTAGTATGTGAATTATATTAAATTCATAATTTAAATCTTTATTTGTAACACTTACCTCAAGTAGAATAGATTTGTCGCATCGAATTTCCACCAATTTGTCGAATTGGTGCAAATTTTCAACAATACGATTCATCACGGTAGGAAAAGCGTAATGGAAACATTCCTTGGTAAACTTTATGCTTTGCACATTTGTGAAAAGTAGGACAGTCTTTTGCACCTGATCGGATCGTATTTTTATGCTGGGACAAGTGTTGAATTTGATCCCTGTAGAAGATCAGTGAGAAACAATTGTCAATAATTGTAGGAAAGTGCCGACTTAAATTTTTGCTAAAAATCGGATTTTTAAAGTCCAAGTTCTGACATAAATTAAAAATTAAACTTCTGTCATATATTTTTAAGAAATTAAGTAAATTGTTGTACTGATGTGTGACTTTACAGCCTTAAACAATGATTTGGTAATAAAAAAATAATATTGCCGTATGGTACAAAATTTAATTCTACCTTGCAATAAAATGAGTAGTATTATTTCATTACCGAATCTATACCAGGGTAGTAGAACCGTTTAATACTAAGGCGGCAGAGTCGCATATCAATAGCGCTCATTTTTCTAGTACCCAGTTTCTAAGAGTATACTTTGCACTTGGAATCTTTTACGGATATTATAAATAAATAGAAATATGAGAAATTTGATGGCTTATCCCTGTACGAATTGAACTTGGAAGTGTTCCTGATATTTTTTTAATTTCGTATTTTTGAAAATTTTTTGAAAATTTTAGGCTTTGAAACCTTAAACATTTTTGAATTTACGTACCACCAGAATATGCATTCGGCTCGTAATCGTACTCATAAATAGTTGCCGTTCCCAAGCTCATGGTAACTTTAGGACAATTATTTATCGCATTCGTCACCTTGGAAACCACTTCATCCGACGCGTACTTTTCTTTCTTGTTCGACTTCCCGAACGGAAAGTTAATCCGCAACGAGCCGGCAGGGTGTCCAATCAGTTCGACCAGTTGGGACAAATCTATTAATTAATTAATGACATATTCTATTTATTTATATCTTTAACATATATCGTTAATAGTAAATATTTGGAATTTTTAGCCACGTTTTAATGAAATTTCCGGCAACATTTTATTTTTCTCTGTGCCCATCCACGCTTCGTCATAGTGGATTTTGCAATGTTTAAATTTCTTGAAATAATCGGCAACAACATCTTGAACGGCTTGATTCATTTCTACCTTAAATATCAAATCGGTAGGATTTTTCTTCCAGGGACGAATCAGCGTTGTGATTGTGGTTTTCGAAACCTCTTGATCCAAAATCAGGGAAACCTAAAATTTAACAAAATATGTCCAAATTTATGAGCTTTTTTTGAAAGCATGTAATTTGCACGAGCGATATTTATACAGTTCATTAATATATATTGCAATTAGCTAATGATAAAAGTTTTACAATTAATCTCTTAGCGACGAAGTACACAAATTTGCATAGCATTTTACTGGTACGTCGAAACGTGTGTACATATTTATAAATTACTCTGATATCAAAAATTGCTCAAAAATTATTACTAGTAAAACTGAATTTTTATACATTTTTTCTACTCAAATTTTATAACTTTCCGTACACCAGTCAATGGTAAAAAGTGGATTTTTTGTGTTTTCCATCAAAAAACTAGAAAACTGGTTGCAATAAATATTCATATTTTACAAGGAAATCTTAAAAATTTGGATTGGTTGCTGTCATGTGTAATTATGAAATCTTGATCTTACCCGGGAGAAATTTTATTAAAAAATCATTAGTACGGAAGAGGTTAATTAAGGAATTGTTACCAGAGCCTTATTTGTAAATTGGTGTTCCAAGACACGATTCCACTTTTTGTCCACGAACTTGTTTTAGACTTTTAAAACCCAGAAATGAGAAAATGGATTTTAGGATCTGAATATAAAAAATAGGTTGTTAATTTCTATAAATATTTTATCAGTAAAATAATTAAATTAGCATATATTTTGTTCTTACCAGTTCATTCTCCAGAGCTGCGTAACCCTCCATGGCATCGCTGCATATTAATATATTCCCATTAACGTTTTTTAACCTTCTGCCAAAAAATTAAAGAAATGTATTCAATATTAATATATATTTAACCCTTTAATTCGTATTGAGGACAATTGTCGTTTTCTTGGAAATGGTTTAATTCGGGAGGAAGACAATAGTCGTCCTGCAAAATTGTGGTCATGGTGCGGGAGGAGGACAATTGTCGTTTGGGGGAGGTCATTGATTTTCACGATTTTCTGCCAGCGACGAAAAATCTTGTCATTTTGGAGGATTTCTCCTATGCCAACCTAATGTTAAATTTTCGTTAAACGTTTTCTTGCCAAAAAGGAGGTATTTCTAAACATAACGCAATGTTAAATTTTGGATTTTTAAGTTTTTTCGAGTTTTACCAAAACTGCTCAATTCCTCATCCCGCTCCATGACCACAGCATACTTGTGTATAACGTGCCCGAATTAAAGCAATTTCTTGTAGCTAATCACACGCCTTAAAGGCTATGTGTATTTTATGTTGAGAGAATTTATTCGCAGTGAATTTACTTGCAATCATATGGCGTTCAGTAAATACAATTTTAATCTGATTGAGCATAAACTCCATATTCAGTGCGAAAATGGAAAGTGGATCATGATAAAAACGTCTGACTCAGAACGGACAAGGTGGATGTAATTATTTACTTATCATTACGATAAGAACAAGATAATAATGCTTAATCCACCAACTACACTTGTGACAGTATTGTATTTATATTTACTGTATACGGTATACCTGCAAGGCTAAAATATCATTAATGTTGTTTCGAATGGAAGCGTATGCAGATAACTTGATGATTAGTTTCACATAATTGATAACTTATGTATAAGTAAACTTAGCGAGTATATCCCATTAAATAATCCCATATTTAAAATGATGCAGACCTATAACTTGATTTCCATAATTGAAATGTTTACTAGTAGCATTAACGTTTCTTGGAAAGGAGGGGTTAGGTTAGGTTAACCTAACCCAATCAATAGTATTTTTAAGCTATTAAAATTTAACGGCTTGAAAATAATTTAATGGTAAAATTATTCAGGATGTAAGCTCGCGACTAATTGACCGCATAAAGATTCGCAGAGTATGGATTATTATGTTTTACAAAAACATCTATAAAAAACCTAAACGACAAAATTGTCCCTATTTGGATTAATAAAAATTAACCTCTTATGTATGTGTGGTCCATATTATAATAAAGTGCGGCAAAGAACGATACATAAGTAGCGCAAAAATGCTTAGCATGCTTCACAAAATAAAACAAATAATTCACCGATTCAAATTTTAATAATGCCTAAAAACGAAGTAATTATCTTTAATTAACCACATGCTCTATACAGCGACATGTCGACGCCACAGAAAAACATGTTTTGCCTAAATTTCATGCATATCGACCGCAAAATGCCGAAATTAGGGCATGGCGAAAGAATTTGGCGAAAAAAGTGTCTAAACCTTAGTCGCCATATTGCGACATGTCGACAACACCGAAAAACATGTTTTCCCCAAATTTCATGCAAATCGACCGAAAAATGCCGAAATTAGGGCATGGCGACGTTTTTCGACATGATGTCGACAAGGTGGCCACACCCCCTTAATAGGGTGTCACACCAACCCCGTGATGAACATGTGTTCAAAATTTCAGGTCGCTACGACAAACCGTTCTCGAGTTTTAGTGTTGACGGACGGACGGACAGACAGACAGACAGACTAACTAACCGATCACATAAAGTAGCTTGCGCTACTTAGTAAAAATACCTCGTATAGCTCTCGTCCGGCTGGAGGAGTTTGCAACCTTGCACCCACATTTCTACGCTGCATTGTGATGCTTATTCTTTGTAGGAGAAAAGATGTTGCCCACTGGGAAAAACTTATGTGCGGAGGAAAATTTATGGGAGAAAACTTGCACATGACCCAACTATTCTCCGCCCGTGAGCGTGACGATACTAATTCTTGATCCATCAATATTTATATACACCTGCATATCTACATGCATTCAGGTGGATATTTTAATATATTTATGCTAGTATAAATTAATTTGCATATAAACATTTGCATAATGTGCATTAAAGAATTGAACCATGGTTTGGCCACTGCCTTGAATTTGACCCCCGATTTATCAATTTGCCGGATTTTGTAAAATAATTGTATTGTTTGAAACAATTTGTTTCCATAAATTATTGGAATTTAGAATAGATATATAAAATGACTTTTATTGTGGATTTTTATGTAGGGTGAACGATTTTTATTTTTCTTTTGTTATGAACATGTAAAAATTGTACAGAATTATGATGACTTATCATTGATAAGTCATATAATAACTAAGAAATAAAGCTGTCTATATATTTTACCCCGTTAAACGTATTCCTTGTTCTTGTTCAACAATTCAGGATTTAAGACTTAATGTGAAGTCGGCTTGTTGTGAGTTGTCGTAGGCCACCTAGTTTTTTTAAGTCATTCGTGCGTCTAGTACTTTTCACGACGATAATTTTACCAATTTTGTTGACAACTTTCTCGATCTTTCTGCCAGCATTCTCGACCTTATTGACACCGTTCTTGACCTCTTTGGCAACCTTGCTGAAAATAGATCTCCTACTTCTGGCAAGTCCATGATGGACCCTTTGAAAACGGTCGGTTCCTGCTCCGAGGTTTAAACGATCTCCGGTTGAACCCGGGTAAGTTCGGTTGATAACTATTCTTGTGCGACCTGAGTTTAAAATTGTGTATAGTTAACACACCTGTAAAAAATTGGTGGAGGACGTCTACAAGGATAATAAGTGGTTAACATCATTTCTTGGTTAAAGGCATATGTAGCGTAAATGAGATGCAAGTGAAAGTAACAAATGAGCCTCACTAAAGTGTGTTTAAAATCGGTAAATTCTACCGCGGTTAGGACAACCTTCCTCGTATTAAACTTTACAAGAATAGGATAAGAAATGTGTGGTCTCAAAATCGGGTTCTTTGATATACTTTATACACTCCAAACAAATTTGAGTTAAAATTACTCAATTTTTAGTAAAATTGCCACCAGCACAACTATTGAGTAAGATTTACCCAATAAAAGTTAAAATTTATTCAACTTTGGGAGATTTTTGCTCAACCTTGAGTAAATTTTACATTTGTCAGGGTAAATCTTACACAATAGTTGTGCTAGTGGTAATTTTATTAAACTTTATTTAGAGTTTAAGCAGGCTATTTATCCGCAAGTGACTCACGCATGTTCTCCTCGGCAGGACACATCGTTACCAGGATGATCAGGTAGAAGAACAACGCTCCGAACCAGCGCATTCTAAAAATTTGGAGTGGAGAGAAATTAAGTAAAAGTCGGACAGAGTGAGCTCTGGGAGAGGTTCGACTCGCTGCTGAATTTATACCTGGAAGCGTTCCTAAAATTGGAGACATTTACTGGTTTCTTATCTATTTTTATCTTGTGTGGACATTGGAATGCCCTCCTTTTACTGAAATCAGGACGAGGATTAAAGTTTTTCATGGAACTGCTACCTTGCATATGTGAAATGAAAAAACACAAATCGTGATAACGTATGTAAACAAGGCGTGGCGAAACCAGTGTGGAAATCGCCAAAATGAATATGATACTCTTTTTTCCCGTTTAAAGTCTCTTACAATTGACACGGTTTACATGTTTTCTTTAGAAATATTTGATTGACATATGCAGAGCCGTCGCGAGAGATTGTACGGCCTGGATTCCTGGCGGTCGTGTACGGCCTACGGATTAGGAGGAATCTATAGCATTTTGTCGGCGGTTCAATAACATCTAAATCCACCACGAGTACACGTTGTATTAGTTTAATGGGTTCTTTTGTTCGTTACTAAAATGCTGATATACCACTGAAACAAATCTTTATGCGAAACAACGTTTTAAAAACCGTTAAAATTCACCCTTATTCAAACATTAGCAAAAAGTTGTTGTTAATAAAAACAATACGCTCATACAAAAATGAATTTTACAGGATATCGAAATGTTCACAATGAGTTCGGCTATCCATGTAAATATAAAACCACGTTGAAAAAATTAAACGTATGAATATGAATAACTAAACAGAAGTTAAATGGTTGAGTAAGTAAAAATTTTAAAATTGTACATATGTACACTACTCCGTACTAAATTATTGAATTGAAATAAAACTATCTCGATCCGAAATTTGAGTCGGTATGAAGGGGTAATGGGCAGAATTAGTATTATATTCTATACAGGCAGTTAAATACATGAGTCAGGTAGATCAGGTGAGTCAACCAATCGATACGAATGCCCCAGGTAATGCAAGGACAATAAAAAGATATATACGCTAATTACTGCGTATGAAATGTATCACTCGAGGTTTGATGTCGCACTTTGTTTGTCCAACCTTCAGTACGGCCGAAACATGGTTCGATACAAACTCAAAGTGCAAGTCACAACTCGGGCACCTTAACACGCCTGTCATCAGCCTGGATGTATGTACATAAGTAGTACTTATTAATTACGCTGGATATACAGTTGTAAGTAGTGTATAAGGTGCGATTCTCCCTCAATTCTATTTATAAATTTGCATGGAATTTTTTTTGCATGCGTTTCTTCTAATTATAGATTTGCATGCAAAAAAATGTATGCAAAAAATTGCATGCAAAAATTTCATGCAAAAAATTTCATGCAAAAAGTTATGGGTCAACCCCCCAGTGACCCCAGCGCAGTGACCTTTGTCCCTTTATTTGTGGGATAAATAATTCCAAAAAAATTAACACACATGTGCATATTACTCACCCCTCAATTTTATTTTTAGATTTATAATTTGCATATGTAAAAGCAATGGTGAAGAACGTTGGGACGTTAGACTGACCCCCCCAGGGAGGTTGCCGTTGACCCCAGCGCGGTGACCTTTGACCCTTAAGGGGGCGCCCATAAATTATGTGATGGTCATTGTGCCATAATGCATATTTTTGAGCTAAGTGAATGTAATATGTCAATAACAGTTACAAGTGTTATTTAAATGCAAGATGTAATAATATGTATGACTAAATATATGCAATGCAATAAGTTGCATTGTACAGATTTAGCTTCAATATTATCACTCATCAAGTAACCATAAAGCTTATTGGACTAGTTGGTTTGTTTACATGTATTGTTGGATCTTAAAAAAAATGTGATCAACATGTATTTACAATGCATTTAAGTAGTAAGATGTGCGCGTGATGAGCCAAGTTCAAGTGATTGGCAATGTTTAAGCGTGATTATATTCCAGTCGGAATTTTGGCAACTTTCCGAAATGAAAGTGTTCCAACGCGTTAACAAGTTTGGTATGCCCCAGTAAAAGAATGTGCTGCACTCTGCTGTTTATATTTTTTTTATTGTACATAGAGGCCGTACATAAAGCATGTGATCAATATTAGCAGAATCTTTTCTCTCATGAAATATGTGTTATCTACATATTACATGCTATAATTAAGACGAGAATGATATTTTGACCCTCACCCCTGCGTAAGTCGATCACATACTCATTGCACAGTCCTGTGCATAAAATAAGAATTTTAATTAATGATATTAATGAATTGCGTTGAAACGATGGTGACAGATTAATGGAGAAAAATTTATCAAATCATGACCAAAATCATCTAATTGGAGAAATCTTAATTATGTACTATGAAATGCATGTTGAAACAGAAATTCATTCTTTTATGAAAAAAAATTAAATAGAACTTGCAACTGTCCAAATACACATGGGCTGAGTTCCAAGTGTGAGATTAGGAGTCATTGTTATGCGTAGATCTCACTCAAATCCTAAAAGTGCATTAAATGCAAAGATCAGAGTATGCAAAGATTCGAGTTTTTGTGAACTTGTTAAGTAATCAGGCATAGTCCTATGTTTATGGCGTATGTTTAAGGCGTTCGGGACGCATTTCCAGACGAATAGTGTGGGTGTGGCTTACGTAACCAAACGTGATCTATTTTTATGGATAATGTTGCTCGGTTCACATTTCCAGACAAAAGAATGTGGGTGTAGTTTACCTAATAAGGCGCCTTATTACGTAAAAAGCATCACATTCTCAGACGAATCCTTTTGTGTCTAGTTTAAGCTAACATTGATTATACTCGAATGTCTGTATGTAAACCGATTCGGCGAGCAAGATTTTGTTAATAAGAATACAAATTTTCCTCGTGCAAAACAACGGTCTGTCCAGTACACAATAAAAACGGTTATGCTGACAAAGCTCGGTTCATTAAAACACGTTACCTTATAATATGCTAAAATGCAAGATTTTACCAGGGTGAGCTTAGAATTACCGTGGCCATTTATTCAGCTAATTTGTGGACAAACGGGCATTGGTAAGACTGAGCGTGTTTTAAGTTGGATCCGTAACCGTGATAAATTGTTTGATCAACCGTTTGATAAAATAATATACGTACATAGTCAAACTCAACAAAAGTTGGTTGACATTGCTGCCGATGTCCCAGTTCTAGAATTATGTAACAATATTTACCAGGTTGAAAGCCAATTGGATCCAAAGAAAAGAAATTGGGTAATTTACGACGATTTTTTGACGTCGATGGAAGAAGACCGAAAGACAAATTTATTTATCCGGCATTTCGTAACCGTTAAAGCTCATCATTTAAATTGCTGTACAACTATTCTGATCCAGAATTACACTCCCAACAATTTTAAATCCGTAATTCTAAATCTTACACATTTAATACTATATCGAAACTTGAGAGATATTCGACCAATAAATAATATTAGTTCCCAAGTTTTTGGAAATTCAACATTTGTTTCAGAGTGTATGAAGGAGCAAGCGAACGACAAATTTGCTTTTGTATGCATTGACTTTTCGACCAGTGAAGAATTGCGTTGCAGAAATTTTTTTATTGAAAGTGACCAATCAGTGCTAAAGTGTTACAGTCCAATATGACGCTCGAAGATATAGCCATCCACCAGGAATTTCTGGTTCAGTTATCAAACGCCTCCTCAAATAAAAGAAGGCAGCTCCTCCAAGCAAGCACAGTTGAACAAATCGAATGTATTGTAGAAATACTGATAAATTTCAATAAATTTGGTAAAAAAGAAACTTCAAAACTCAAAAAATTGCTCAAATATTTTTTTAAAAAACGTAATTTGAATTTAAAGAATGTTAAAGCCTTTTTAATTCTTAACCAGTTTGCAGTGAAAGATATTCTGTCCATTGCTTTGCAAAAAATTATTGAAGAGGCGGTAATTTGTGCGTGCACTTAATATTGCTAAAGTTTTTTACTTAATATCCAGTGATACATATAAAAAGTTGCAAGATAGTGAATTATTATCATTGGTAAAATATGATCAACCAGAGAACGTTGGATCAGGTGGAAAGTTGGATCCGGTAAAACCATTAAAGTCTCAATCGTGCAAGACTTGGGTATCTTTTAGTGACAAATTTAAATGGAAGAAGCAAGAAAAAAAATTATAAAAACATATTTCTCTCCAAAATCACCGGCTGGCTACAATTCTCTGACAGCTTTTCTAAGGAATTCAAAATATAAAAACAAATCAGTGGTCCAAGATGTCCTGAATTCTTTAAAAACATATTCAATACACAAAGGCATTCGGAAAAAATTTCCGACACGTAAAGTAATGTTAAACTCTATTGACCAATATTGGACCTGGGATATAGCAGTAATGCCAAACTTTAGAAGTAATTCATTCTTCAAATATATATTGATTGTTCAAGATTTGTTTACTAAATTTATTTGGGCAATTCCCCTAAGGAAAAAAGATTCTAACGCAATCATTGAAGGCATAAGGCAGCTTCTCAAGAAATCAAAGGGCAGAAAACCTGGAAAAATCTGGGGCGATCAAGAGTCAGGTTGGATGAGCAAAAAGACTATTTAAAATCAATGGGTATTGAAACTTACTATACTTTCAGTAAAAAGAAGGCAGTTTATTCAGAGTTGGCTGTAAAACATATTAAAAAACGGCTATATGCTATAATGTCTCACACCAATTCCAAAAATTGGTTGAAACATTTAAATTCAGTCGTGTATTCTTTAAATCATAGCTACAATTCAAGTGTGGGCAAGGAACCAGCAAATGTAACTGCTAAAGATGAAAGTGAAATTTGGGACAGAATGTACAATAAAATCATTGATATGAATCCTCCCAGCAGTAAACTAAACGTTGATGACCTGGTTAGAATTGGTAAAACAAAAATTGATCTCGGGAGCAAATCATACCTTGCTAATTGGACAGATGAATTATTCAAAATTTCTTATATAAATTACAATTCTCGGCCAGTCTTGCTTTACTCTCTCACGGACTTACTCTCTCGAATGAACCAGTTCAAGGGACCTTCACTGAGCATCAGCTAAACAGAGTCAGTGGATCGAACAATAACGACAAATGATGGATAACTCACCTGATGATTTTTTTGTGACACTACAAAGTGACCTGTGTAAACAATATTACAGTGACAATACTTCAGCGAACTTTTGTAACTATTTGGCACGACCAATAGATTCCTTCAAGAACGAATACCTTTGCGGGGTTTCGGAAATATTTTTTAGCGAAGCAGACGCCGTCATGTTGGCTCCGTCAAGTCAGCCAAAATTCTTTAATTCATCATCTCAGAGCGAAATTGTGGCGATTCAACAATCAAACAGCATAATTTCATTCCCGAAAAAGGAAGACAGCCTTGTGAACTTTTACGACGCGTGGGCGGTAGACCTAGACTCCAGACAAACTCAAGATCCAAAAATAACTTTAACCAAGGAATACTCGTACACAACGTTATCGGGTCCTTATACAGTTTTAACATTGACAGACCCTCTCAACGAATTCTTTGTGACCATTGAACCTCAAATAGCTGAGCTATTGGGGTTTTCCCAGACCACATTTACACCAGGAACGTATACGTCACCCAGGGTTCAATCTGATGAGGTTTTTGATCAGATACCCATGAATACACTCATCAAATTAACGTTCAGTAAAGTAATTACGCACAAAATTATGGTTAAAGAGCCAGAGGAATACGATAGAGAGGTCTTGATTGAGAATATTGCTTTGGAATTCGCTGCTCAGAATCTCAAAGTTTATCTACCCATGGCCGACGACAATTCTCTTACTGTAAACATTATGGAAAAAAATATGACAATTTCTATGGGATCAAAAATTAACGAGCTTTTAGGGCTTGATCCAAATTTTGTATTTAGAAATCAAAAGACAGATTTGAACTTGCCAGTCTGGACCTCGTCTACGGAATCAAATAAAAGTATTTCTTCTAAATCCAGAGTGCTAATCATGAGTGATGTAATGGAGCCACAAATTTATGGTGATTCCTTCAAGACAATTTTGCGAATTTTACCAAAAGCAGATGCAACTATAAATACCGATCGTCATTTAGTGTTTCGACCAGTGTTTTATTTTCCAGTACGCAGTGGACAAGTTAAGTCAATCAGAATTACACTAGCGACTGATGGTAATGAAACTTTAAAAACCCTAGAATTCCCAACAATTGTTGTTTTACATTTTAAGAAACAATGAGAAAGCTCATTTGCAACAAAGTCGGTTGCAGACTCGAGGGAAAAAATAAAAAAATGTCTTCGAAAGTAGGAGCTGGTTATGCTGGGTTTCATGCACGCAATTCAACATATTTAAAACCTTTTAAACAAGCTAATAAACGCAAGTCATACACAATGTCACTAAAACTAGGAGCTGGCGGTGATGGGTTTCACGCAAGCAATTCAACATATTTAAAACCGTTCAAACAAGCTAATAAACGCAAGTCATACACACCCAAAAAAGCAGGATCCGGAAAAAAACAAAAAGTTCAAAAACTAAGTGTACAAGTGAGCAAAACTGCAGACAGGATTCGCCGACTAAGTATAGAGACTCAGAACCAAAAGCAACAAAAAAAATGAAGATTCTTTTGACTGTTTTACAAGTTTTCAATTCGCTATTTAAGCTTCAAGATATTTGTACTAAACATTTAGTGTCTCGCCAGTCGTCAAACTCTTCACACCTCTTAAAATCATGGATCAATTTTGCAAAGGAAGTGATCTTGTCTATAACTCGTGCCTTGATCTCACGGGGCTCCCTAACCTAACCTAACCTCCCTCCCACCGACATTGGGATTCTCTCTTCAGAACATTATCCTATTTATCCAAGTTATAGCGTCAAGTCGAATGATAATCCTGTCGATTTTGTCATTTCTACAAGCTCATTTCACTACATTGACTTGAAAAATTCATTTTTATATATTCGCGCAAAGATCGTGAATGACAGTACTGAGCCAAAAAATGAAATAACCGTATGTGAAGCCTTCTTTGCGTCTCTTTTTTCCTCATGCGAATTAGAAATTAACAACGTTCCCATTACAACGAATTCAAATCTATATAGCTACAAGTATTTTTTAGAAACTCTATTAAACTACAGCGAAGGAGCCAAATCATCATATCTTCTTTCAGAATTTTGGAATCTCGACGAAGTAAAAGATCAAAAGAAAGTTGTAAATGCTCTCTTTGAGAAAAGACTATTGGCAACTACAGATAAAAGTTTCGAAATTATTGGAAGAATCAGTCATTCTGTCACAAATCAATCAAAGTTTCTGCCACCAAACACAAGTGTCAAGATTACTTTAAGACGATCGCCACCACAGTTTTCATTATGTGGTGATGTTGAAAATTCAAATTTCAAGTCGAGAATTGAATTTGAAGAAGTTATTTACTACGTTAAAAAACATGCCGTCCACCCAAAAATTATACAAAGTCATCAACAAATGTTAAAAACTAAAAGATTTAGTTATCCTTACTTTCACAATGAAGTAAACACTTTTCAGATTGCGACAGGAAGTTTGAGCGTGGTGTCAGAAACTTTATTTTCTGGCGTATTGCTGAACTTTCTTGTTTTTGGATTAGTTCCAGCTAAACAGTTTTCTGGGGAAGCTAAATCAAGTCCATTTTGGTTTTCAAGTCACAAATTAAAAAATGCGACTCTTACGTGTGACGGCGATAATATATCATTCAAACAAATTGAACTAGACGAGAACAACAACAACTACTTAAGAGCTTATACGTCATTGATTTCAGTTTTGCCCTACAACAATGACCTGAGTTATGGGTTGAATAAAAGAAATTATACCAAAGGACGTTTTCTAATTGCACTTGACTTGTCTGCGACTCACGAAACTGATAGATTCAGGCCAGTCAAACATGGAATGTTAAAGCTTGAACTTAAATTTAAGGAAAATACCACAGAAAGTTTAATTTGTATTTGCTTTGCGCAGTTTGAACGAATTTTTCAAATCGGAAAGGACAACACGGTTTACACGGACCCTTCTCAAATGTGAACATGGACTCTGAAGCATTGTTAAAAAACTTACGAAAAATTACCAAAAATACGCTAGCCAAGTCTTGCTTTTTTATTTCAGCCGACGAATGGCATAAGGCCAAGTTAGACTTATTACCAGTAGCTGTAGTTATGCACTCTGAAATTAGTACTATTAAACTTGGTCACTATGTGGCATCTTTTATTCAAGATAATGGCGCAGAAATGTGGGATTCGTATGGTAATAGTATACACAAGTTTAATACAGATCCACCTTTTAAAATTGTTAAACATAATAGTAAAACCATACAATGTAGTAACTCAATTGTTTGTTCATATCATTGTTTATTTTATCTGTATCATAGGTCAAGAGGAATCACAATGTCTAAGTATATTAGACACGTCATATAACGTCAATTTAGCAGTAACTGTAAAACTAATGACATTAATTAATTAATTAATTAATTGAATTAATTAATTGATTCATTAATTCATTAATTAATGATTAATTCATTAATTCATTAGAATTAATTAATTGATCACACCGCGACCGCACCCCCTGACGCCGAGGGGGTGTGGCACCACTTTGATACACTTAATTTAACTGGATTTCATCCATAGATTAATTTGCGCTATAAATCTCATTTGCCCCGATCACACTGCAACCACACCCCCTGGCGCCGAAGGGGTGTGGTCCAAAAGTTTACGCGATCCTCCCCTTGGAGTCATGTGTATGATGCCGCAAACCGATTTTGATTATCTTGATGCGTTCTCGAGTTATAGTGTTGACGGACAGACAGACAGACGGACGGACAGACTAACTAACCGATCGCATAAAGTAGCTTGCGCTACTTAATAATTGGGTAAATTGGATAGGTGGTAAAGTGGTAAATAGGGTGGTAAATGCGATGCTAGATTATATGCAATGGTAGATTATAGACAATGCTAGATTATACGCAATGCTAGATTATAGGAAATGTTAGATTTTACGAAATTCAATGTATGAAGGGATGCGGATCAGAGAGTGTAAGCGGGAGAGAGAGAAGAAAAGGGGCGCGTGGGTCTCGTAGTTTTAGTAAGTACGTATTTTTTAAAGTTTAGTACGAGAGTGAACGTCAAGTAGTTAAGTGCTCGTTGTCTAGAGAAGAAGTAGGAATTTTTGGTCGTGTGAAGAATAATTCAATAAAGTTATAATTAATTGGAATTGTTAATTAAATTGAAGTTCTTTATTGATTCGCCGACATCGTATAAGTAAAAGTAAAGTGTTTGGGACTACTTCACAAGGAAAAGTGCATCTCTAGGAATCTAATTAAAGTTTTGAAGTTTAAGTGGACCTTGTCGAAACTCAATTAGTCAGAACTGCAGGCACATACATAGGTGTTACGGATTCGACGCGTAGTTGGATCGACCGAGCACATCAATTGATGTTTAGTATATTTACTCTATATTATACCTGTTATTTATTTATAATTCTAATATTTTAAGAAAATTTTTAAATCATACCGGACTCCACTTTTTTCAATAAGTTATAATATCTATTCATGCAATGTAACTTTATAGGCGTTTGCCTGAAAAAGTTGTTAATAAATTAAAATACATACATACATACAGTTTTCATATTTACCTAAATAAGCCAAAACCATATATCATATTTCGAATCAGAGTAATCATTTTGCACTCAATTAAGGCCATCAAGCAGTAGCCGACCAACTCCTGGATGAAGACCGCAAAGCTCACAATGAGACTTGCAAGTAGGGCGTAAAACGCGCCGGAAATGTGCTTCAGTGTAAGATTGTCATTGTCAATAACGTTGGAACGTTCTAATTTTTCCGTCTGGTTCGTTGCCAACCACCAATCTCTTTTTTGAAGTCGGACGTTGTAAACCATGTCGAACTCTTCCCACACATCCGCCAGATGAAATGGTCTAGCCCAGGAAAGTAGGCGATCAAATGCGTCCGTATAGATTGAACCAGATTCAAAATGAAGCCCGAGGAAAACCTGAAATTGCAGGGAAATAATTTAGGAAATTTTTGTTAATAGATTAATATGTTGCTGTGGCGGAATGGACGTTAAACTCATATATAAAGTTAGTAAGAATAGTCAAATTCATGAATTTTTGTTATGATTTTGGTAAGAATAAGTGTAGACTAACAGTGGGGCGAGAAGGAGAAGGAACGGCGGGGACCGTATGAAGAGAGCAAGAGGAAGAGAAGAGTCGTGTTTTACAAGCAGACCAAGAAACATCAAGTAGACGATGTCGTGGACGAATATTTAAGTTTTTTCAAATATTTCGAGTTTTTCGTTGATTTCCAATTAATTAAGCTTCAGTTTAATTGTTAAATGTTAATCAGTAGATTTGAGTGAAGAAAAACCAGTTATTTGGCTGAAGAGTGTCAGTTCTGGGACTTTTGTTGTCACTACTACTGAGCTGCAATATAAACTGGTGGAAGGAGACAGACTATTTGCGCAAAGTTCATCGAAACCATCGTAGCTCCGAGATAAGATTAGACGTATGTACCCATTACGACGCTGTTAGTGGGATTTACGACCCCAAAGAGGTTCACCTTTCGAACCATATAAGATTTGCGAGCGTAACAGTTGCATTTTCCTGAATCATATACGGGTACTAAATACGTAAAGTATATAAATTTAATTAGTACTGATTTTATTTAAAAAAGTTGGGCACATACATATGCATGTACTATCCTTTTACTTAGGCTTGTCACCTCATTTGCATAAATCTCAATAGCCCATTTTCGGCGATACGAGCTTTCCATGTTGAATAAACTCTATGGCTCTCACGAATGCGTCAAAATATGCAAATGAGGTGACAAGCCTAAATAAAAGGATAGTACATAGGCCAATTTCATATCCGTGTAATAATTGCAGAGGAAATTAAGTATCCAATGGTTGAAGAGTTAGATAAATTCGCAATAGAAAGTGAACACGGATGTATTAAGGTTCCAGCCTTTATAAATTCGAGAAGGCTATTAAACTAAAAATTAGACGAGCACCCCAATCTACGCAGAACCTCGATGAGCTGACAACATCGACCATTTGATATACTTGGACATTCAACGATTTGCTAATCTAACGAACAAACTACAGCCACAAACTCAGCTAGCCAGCCAGTCTATGTAGATATGTAGAAGTTCGACAACGAAACTGATATATATATATGTAGTGATCTGGTAAATACTTCGACGGAATTTATTAAACAGAAATAACATTAGCACAATTGACAGAAAAACAGGTAGACTGAAATTGAATGAGCATGAACTTACTTCTCTGTGAATAAAAATGAATGAAATATGTAAGTCATTTCGGGTAAATGAAAATCAACAAAATAAGTTTTCATTCCTTTAATTTTCACCTTATGCTTAATGTACACATGGAGCGTACTATAAAATGAATGAAGTAATATGAAATGAAATGTAAATGAACAAAAATGAGTCAATATGAATGAGGTCCCTAATTGGTAAAAAATAACTACTGTAGTATGTATAAAAAGCTTAAAAGGAATGTTTCCTTTGCTGACTTACCACAAACGTATTCTCCTGTGACTGCACCAATTTACGAATATCAGAATCTGAAAGGTTAGCATATTGCAGATACCGGGTTTCAGAAGACAACGCAACACAGGCATATTGATTGTCAATGCTTTGTTCCAAACATTTTGGTCGGTTTTTGTTGATGATCTCCAAATTATTGAGAAGTTTGACATAAACTGGATCCTTTGACCTGGCAAGCATGCTCAGTACTGCGTCTTGAGGATTTATACACCCTACGGTGTAGTCGGATTCCACCAGATCTTTAAATGTATGTGGAATTTCTTCCATGACTGGAAACGCGAGCAAACTGACCATTTTCGATCTACAATAATTATACAAATATTGAGACTTGAGTAGAAATTTGATGGAGTGCAAAATTGAGTAGGCCGTGTAAATCTGCTCCACATATTTCACAAACTAGGCAGATAACTAATGAATTTTCCCGAAATATTTCCCTACGAAGATCGTCGTCGAAGTTAAGGATTGTCGAACGGCATAATTTCTGACTCAGAAGCTCATTTTCAGTCAGTACGAGAAGTTTTATCCTTCGTGATATTATTTTTATGTCAATATGGTCCTTATTTGTATATTCAAGTCCTCCTGAACATTGCTTAAGATTGTGCAACCATCTACAATATTTTTGGCAAAAAGGTATGAATTATTTAATTGCGAATTTAAACGATATTTGAAATGTGTATCTCCCACAAGGTTAATGTTCAACATTTCACAATCCGTGCCATCCAAGGATTCAACCGTTTTTTAAATTATGGAGACTAGCACAAAATATCGAAATGTTCAGGACGAGTATATAAAATTAGTGGTGGCTGAAACATGAGCTCCAAGGTAAAAAAACTATAACCCATGACTTTTTAAACTTTATGAAATACATGAAAAGCATCCGAGCGCAATCTGACTAGGCTACTATCCCGGCAAACTTCAAACTGATATCACGACTAGATTGCGAGATATGAGTTTTACACGTTTTACTCTAGTGTACATACAATATATATACACATTTCCAAGTTAGGACTCCTCACCAGGCCTCGATGAGGGACACAACCGAAATATTCCCGTTTCTCGTATTTAGCGTTATATTTTAAAATTCGGGAAACTTCGAAAAAATAAGCATTAACCTGTACACCGTCGTAACAATCAAAGCGAAAAACAGCCAGAGAGCGACGAAACAGCGAAGTGGAGTGCACGTCGGGAGGACGCAATCCTGATCCAAATAGGTCGTAATGACGAACCATATCTGATGTCGCAGCCCCCAATTTTCCTGACTCACTTGGCCCCTCCGAGCAAAACTCATCCTCCCATTGGTATTCATTTCTAGAATATTCATCCCATTCATGATTAATCTGAAGACAAGAAACGCTCCAAGAGTGGATGATCCGATGCAGGTCCACATAAGGTGATCAAACGACCAGAGGAGTGTCGCAGGGGAGAATATTTGGACACCCTTATTTGTTAGGAAGTGCAAGTAGACATGGTCATAAAATGAGTTTGTGAACGACACCTGTCGATCTGCAAGGTTGTAATATGTCAAAGTTTGTATTAGTTTAAATAAGACATGTCCCACTGTTCTTGTCAGATGGCGATGGCTGGTTGAACAAAAAGATGTCCATGTTGCTTTTGGGGACAAGTTGAGGTTACTCAAAAAAACCTTGATCGGAATAGTGGGATATGTCTTACCATTACTTCTTACAGCTGTACTGCTCTTCGTTTTGAGTATAACTGAGGTATGGAGTTCAAAATTATAAAAGTGGAAATGTTTACTTAATTTATAGCAAAACTCTGTTTGCAATTTTGATTAAGAAATATTTTGACGTATTCAGACGTGTGTAATTTAAGTCATGTACATGTAATAAGAAAATCATTTCCAAATCCAACTTACTTCGCTCATCTGTATTCACCGCTATGATGCCGATGTCAGCCTTCCCAGAAATAACGTCTCCTACAGTTCCTACAATAGCCAAAAATTATTAAGTTTAACTTGGATGACGCGTTGGCGCCTAATCCCACTATGCCCCTATACAATGCTTCTAAACTGTAATTTCTAAAATCGATAAATATTTCATGTTGGGCTAAATATCAATTTTATTTTTAATGTATAGTTCATTTTTGTACTGCAAGCAAGTCGATAAATAAATAAATAAATTGTGTTGTTGTCGTGAATAATTTAATTATTTTAAATGATTTGATTAGATTTTAAGACTTTAACTTAATGTAAATTTAAGACTTGAGACTTCGAACAGGGGGAAGGTAAGGTAAGAATTCACTACATAAATATATAATCAAATTGTAAGAATTTACCTATCCAAGTTCCATTTGGTAGTGGGATCCCACTTCCTCCTCCGCCCACGAATCCTCCATCCTTTCCCGTCGAGAGGAAAAGATTATATGTAAAATTAAGTTTCACCATAAAAAATTCAGACACGAGGGTCAGCCACATGCCACGGTCACCGTTATTCACTCCACGATATGGCGGTTTTACTTCGAGCCTCGATTTTGCGTTGATGAAGGATATCCGCAACGTTTTCCCCATCAGATCCACAACAAAATCGGGAAAGTAATGAAAATTAGGAGAGGTTACGGATGGAGGGAGATTCAAAATTTCAGGCAGTCCATGGTTGCAGAAGAAGCAAATCGTGTGGACAATCAGGTCACCGCGGTGGGTGAAGGTGAGACCTAGCTTGTATTTGGTCTTGGCGGGTAAGGAATCAGACAAGAGGAGATGATCGAGTTGGGATTGTTGCGGGGTTACCCAAATCCAAAAGTCCGTGTCTTTCTTGATCGTGGGGATGTACACGGGGGAAAGCGACCTGACGAGTACATATAATTTTAAAGTTTCGGCATGTTTTTGATTAATTTTTGAAATTTTATTAAACAATTCATTAAGGTTGAATTGGCTGACATATTGATGCGCTTTCTCACCATGTCCCTGTCTAGTGTATTTTAATTGCAATTCCTAAAAATATTTTGAAATTCGTTTGATTTTTTAGGCCTTTTAAGGTGGCCTGATAGAATTGCCTTGGTGTCTGACTGTCCGTCTGTCTCTCCGCACGATAACTCTCCCTAATCGAGACTGACAGATTTAAAATTGTGCATATATCATCTTTGAGTAAAAAGTAGGGATCAGTGCGAAAATTAGTGTGATTGGTCGAGTGGTGGACCAGATAGGGTCGATTATCTAGGTCAGGGCCGTAGAAGCACTGGATTTAGGTGGAGAGCACTCTCCAGGCCGGACGGCCCGAAGGGCCGTACCGCCTGGTCATGTTGTTACTAGATATAATTCAACTGTCTAACATACGAGGGGAGACCAATAAACAGTTGGAACATCACAAAAAAGAGCTGTTACATTGCCTAAATTTCCTCTTATTTTCAAAGTTCAAACTTAGGAAGGCCAATTTTTTATAGCTCCCCGATTGGCATATTCAGAGAAATAAATTCCCAAGGTCGAGCTTGAAAATACTAAAAATTTGCAGTTTCAATCCCTTTGTTGCTCAAAAATCGCTTCCCCTTAATTTCGATAATTTGAAAATTATGAATATTATTCGGTTTAACATATTTATAGTAACCAGTTGGGGCTTACTCTCGACTAGATTGGGAGTGTCAGTCACGGAGAAATGATTCTCGGTTGCAATAGAGGTATTTCGTTGCAACTTGTCGCGTAAAAGTTTTGCCAAAATTATGTTTGACATGACACCACAATAGTTTTGAACTGCAATACGTAAATCCTTCAGTTGTACCACTAGCTTCAGGGTAGTGGCATATCCTTATATTCTAATATTGTATTCGCAAGGGTCTCATATTACAGGGATCGACCGCTTTTAGACAGATCTTTGAATTTCTTTCGTCAAAAAAGTCATGGTCACTTTTACTTCTGACAATCTGATGTCAGAATTTTCTCCTTGGAAAAATCTATATTTTCAGCTTTTGCTTTCCGGAGTAAAGGTGTCGGGACTTTATTTAGGTCAAATTTGCTGTGCGAGCCAACTTATATGACAAGATCTGTACCAAATAGCCTCAAATCGTTCTAAATAGAAAACCTAAGCTTATCTGAATTTGTAATGAGGGTATGAAATCGGAAATTAACATTACTGGGATTATAAATTTATGAAATAAGCAACGTTTACTCAAATCGCCCCAGATTAAAAACTTAGCTTATCTTAATTTGTAGTAATGTTGACCACTCAAAAATTAACGATCCGGGGTTTATCAATGTATTCACCAATTTTTCAAATTTCAAATTAATAGGATATTACTCGGTACATAATAAATAAGTCAACGGATTATCGTAAGGTTCAATAATAAAGAACTTGTAACATTTTATCAATTTTCGATTTTTCAACATTTTTGTGGTCGAGCTTGAGTTGGGAATTTCCATCCCAGGATGTGCTAGTTGGAGAGATATACCAAAATTGACCTTTTCTAGGTAGGTTCAAAGTTCAAACTTTGAACTTTGAAATATTTTTGGGAAAGGTGATAACAAAAACAGCCTAGGTCGACGCGTTGAAAGACGACAATTTCGGTAATAATCCCCTTATTGCGAAGAAAATTTAGGAGTGTGCAAATTCGGTACATGAAACTTAACCTTGGTCCTACAGCCATAAAGAACAAAGCCTATAAGCCCGTCTAACGCCGGGCGGTAAACTATTATAGCTGTATGAAGGTCTGCTTGCAACGGAAGTAACTTAAGAAAAATTGTATAATCAGCATAGCACTCGTAGAAAGATTCATGAATGTGGTAATCAAGTATTATAGTGAAATGTTGAAGATATTTTCTCATGGTGAAAAAATAAGAATTTCTGTTCGATAATCTCGAGCCAGGGTGTATTATAAGACAGAGTTTTCAGTTTAGAACACAACATTGCTTGGATCACCAGCCCAGAAATCAGTCGCTAATTGTAGCAGCCCCTAGTAAACGCATCAGCCAAGTAAACACACCAGCCCAGTAAACGAATAAACATTCGTTGTCCGTGGTTTCTCCTAAGGGGGTGATGCCGGGATGAATTTAGGTCATCAGCCAAGTAAACGCATCAGCCCACTAAACGCGCCAGCCCACTAAATTTGGCAGCCAAGTAAACGCACCAGCCCAGTAAACGCATCAGCCAAGTAAACGCATCAGTCCAGTAAATTTGGCAGCCAACTAAACCCACCAGCCCAGTAAACGTACCATCCCACTAAATTTGGCAGCCCAGTAAACGCACCAGCCCAGTAAACGCACCAACCCAGTAAACGCACGAGCCCAGTAAACGCACCAGCCCAGTAAACGCACCAACCCAGTAAACGCACGAGCCCAGTAAACGCACCAGCCCAGTAAACCCACCAGCCCAGTACACGGGCAGTATGATTGCCATCCTACTTGGCTGCCACTGCAGGCTGCCAAAGCCTAAAGCGATGCCATTGCCATTGGCAATGTTTTGGCAATAGGCTATGGCTGCCATCTTTGCCAAGGCGGAAGTAAGGTCGCCTAAGCTAAAAGGCAGCCTATTTGATATGTTACAAAACCCCACCCCGATAACCACCATCAGGCAGCCACACCCCGATAACCACCATCGGACAGTAATGACCACACCTTCTCCAGCATTTATTTATTGATTTTACCAAATTTAAGATTTTTGAATTTTCGCGCCATTCGAAACTTAACTTTCCTTCTTCTTTCACTTCCGTACGAACAGATTTTGTCACGGACAAATTTACTTTCACTTCCGTTACCAACAGACATTCCCTCTTATATAGAATTTCACATTCACCGTCAACCGTCAGGATTTTTCGGATGTTTCATTGACCATGAATCATGGTTGAGCAATACCTTTTGTACTGACAGATTTTGCGAATTAATGGTATAAGGTACGTACTTTGGAACGATTAAAATAATACGTGGAAGAAAGATACTCCTGCAATTTGTCAGAAAGTGTGTTTGTCAGAGTAAGCAAAAAGGTGCCTTTTGGGAAAAAATTCATGCATTTTTGCCTTTTTGCGTGCCTTTTTCGGTATGTTTCTATTGGACATTGCCTGAAATATTACTATTTACAAGAAACCATGAGAACAATATAATTGGCTAACTTTTCGGTTTCCAAAATTTTTTTTACTAAACTTTCACTTCTTCACAAATACTTCACAAGATTCTTGACGTAGACACTCATGATAATGAGAGGTTAGGAATATGCCTACACCTCAAGATATGTGTAATTATTCAGTTTAGTGCTGTCGATAATCAGTTAAATTTTACCAATAAGACATTATTTAATTGTTCACATGTCGACAAATCCAGTGAACTTTGAAAAAACTTATGTACATATCATACGATCGTATGATCGCATTTCCCCGATTTTACCAAAAAGGCATTTCGGGCATTCCGAAAATTCGCGTGCCTATTTAATAGGCAAAAAGGCATTTTAGGCACGACATGCTTTTTTGCTATTGCACACTCTGGTTTTTGTCATAGACAGATCGATGCACTCTTGTACTTAAGAACAGTGGCCGTCATATGGGGCAAGTTTCGAATAAAAAACATCCAGTCGTAGGGAAAAAAATCTTAAACTTTTCCATGTATAAATTGGACGCCTTATGTATGTGCTAAAGCAAGATAAAGAGACGGCGAATACTTATCCTCTTATGGAATGAATCATTAAATTTCTCAAAACTTTCGCACAAATTATTTCTTTGGCTTATTGTGGAATGAGAAAACGTTTTTTGATATTTTTCTTCATGGATTTTTGCTTACTTATGTATGTATACCAACCAATGTTAAAAGTTTATTTAGACGGGAAACACATAAAGGATTTTTCGTGGTTCTCGTTAAGCAAACTTAAACATTGGAAACTGATTGAAATAAATATTTTTCTTTTAGTGGAAAGCTTAAGATTTCAGTTGGTTGCTATAACGCGTAATTATGAGATCAACATCTTGTCCAAGAGAAATTTACAAAAATCAATAAGATGAAATGGTTTAAGCGTTTTTAGCGCATGATTCATTGCATGTATGTAATCATAGCCTCGCAGAAGAAAAATATGATCCAAATTACTGACTACGTTAATTTCTAATTTTGAACTATAAAAGGCCGGACGAGGGCCTTACTCTCCAGGCCGGGCCAAGGATAGATACGGCACTGATCTAGGTGCTGGGGGCACATTGCAAAACAATGTCCTAGAACCCGGAAATTTGATGGAATGGTTGTCAATGATTTCCTAGTAAAATTTGGGACCAATCAACTCAATGGAATATAGTTCTTGACCCGATCATTACAATAAGGACATATTAAGAGGCCAAAAGAATTTGCTTGAAGTAAGCTTTTTTCGCAGGAATTTCTCTGCAAAAATAAATCAACTAATTTATTACGATTCGACTTGTTTGTAGTCCCAAAAATTAATTTAACCTTAAAAAATTAAATATCTTGAAACTGGAGAAATTTACACGACCTTAAAAATTATGTACATTTACACACGCTAAATTAGGGGAAAGCGAGATGAAAATTTAATAAAAGTGTAAATTTAGCATTAGTTTCTACCTTTTAATCCATTGAAAATACTCTGGCCGGAA